TAATTCAGTTAGAGTGGCATTGGCTGTCCTTAATCATTCATATGCTCCTCTGGTGAAGCCATCTGCCCTTGGCCTTGTCTTTCCTGGGTTTGGACTCATGATGTAACCTGTGTGTCTGTCCCTGCTCTGCTCAAGCTGTCTGCTGCTCCTAGGCTCAGCTGGGCAGGGTGCACAGTTCTGGAAATGCATGCATCTGCTCCTGCATGTTATTGGGGAAATACATACAGGTGGCCTAATGACCACTTGTATTCCTAAGGTCTCAGAAACACCTGGTTGAGCAGGTATTATGTCTTTCATTCTTTCCTCCCTCTGTCTCACCCGTAACATAAATAATTCTTTCCTAAATGGTGGCTGAAGAGTCCCATGGGCTCCTTGTTCTTTCCACCTGAGGAGTGCATTCACAGCACCTTGGTCAGGTGTTCCTGGAGCAGCTGGGCCTCCCAGTCCTGGGGGCTGCATGGTGCTGGGGCCACTCTGGCAGCCTGGACAGCTGAGGGGCTGCTGGCAGAGCAGCAGAGGTGCAGCCCATCTGTTCCCAAGGGCTGCCTGAACTGGCCCTCCAGCAGGCCCAGGTCAGCAGTGCAGCAAGCCCCATGAGTGCAGAGGTGGCTGTCAGATTAGAGGACAGCACAGGGCAGGCAGCACCTGGGGACAAGGGCGAGATGCTCTCAGCACCCAGGGCTGGCTTTGCACCTCCAGGGGGACTCTGTGCAGTGGCTGCTCAGGGCCTGCTCAGCTGCCCTGGGGACTTTGTTAGGGGTTACAGGTTCGTGCAATGCCACCTGGGGTCCTGGGAAAGGTGTGTGTCCCTTACAGCTGGCCCTGCTCTCAGCATGCCCTGCCACTCAGGGAGGGCCCAAGGCTCTTCCCTCCTTTGTACATGTGTGGACTTATGGCCATTTGCATCCTGTGTCTGCAGGTGGATGGACAGTTCCTCCCTGACCAGCACACAGCTGGGTAGGGAGGCTTAAGAGAGCAGCCAGCCAGCTGCTTCCCAGGACCCTGGGTGGGGTCCCTGCATGGCTCTTTGCAATGGAGCCTGGTGTGTAGCCCAGGCTGGCTCTGCTCTGTCCCCACCACTGCTGGGGCCTGTTTCCCAGGAGTTTCCAAACTGTGCTGACGGCTGTGGGCTCAGTGGCTCCAGCAGCACAGGTGCCCCCTGTCAGGGGTGAAGGATGATTGACAGCTCCTTGTGTGGCAGGGGCAGAGGCAGAACCTGCACAAGGGGCCTCACTGAGGGTGGCTTCAGCAGAGGTCCTGCCTGTCACCTGTGTGCTCTGTGTAGTGGGGGCAGGATGAGCACTCCCGCCCTCCACAGTGCTCTGTCCTGCACAGTGGCCATAGACTGACCCAGGCCTATGGGCAGGGAGAAGAGCAGGGCCTTCTGCAACTCCCTCATCCACTAAGGCAGCCTCCCAGGGACCTGGCCATGTAAACTAAAGTGCAAATTTCACATGTGCTAAGTGTGTGGACACTTTTGGTTCAAGAACATGCAAACATACAGAAAGCATCCTTTGTAAATATCTTGAAAGTAACTGGATTACAGGTTTACATTTGAAGCACAACTCCACAGCATTTCAGATAAAACAATAAATTTTTGATGGCTCAGTCTGACAGTGAACTTTCAGGAGTATGTCAAGATACAGAGGACGGGTCCCTGAAATTAATGTCTAACCCACAGGAGCTTGGGCTAATCAGAGGCGAGGGAGAACATGGATGCCCTGGTTCTCCCAGTGGGCACTGGGTGCTCAGGTCATCCCCTGTCCACAGCTCTGTGCTTGATAGCACCAAGGGGAGCCCAGCCAGTGTGCCTGCTCCCCTGCCATAGGGCTTGTCCCCTTGGTCCTGGCCACAGGCAAGGCTTCTCCTGCAGTCCTGAGCTTCAGGACTTGTAGAGGTTCTTCTGCAGACTCGGTTGTTCACCTCACAGGGCAGTATGACTGGAAACAGTGTGCATGACACCAATCACTGCCATGGGAGACCCTCACCTACCACAGGACCATAGTGTTGGCTCTTACTTGCCACAGATGACTAGTTTTATTATGTAGTCACAGCAGCTGTGGCTCAGAGTGTCCAGGGGCAGTGGGGGCCTCTGTGGCTGCCCCTACAGAGGTCCAGTGCATGCATAGAGATGATGTCCATGTGCTTCTCACAGTGACAGGGCCAGAGTCCAAGATCTGTGGGGCATGGCAGCATGACACAGTCCTCAGAAAACACAGAAACCCCAAGGACAGGAAAGGAGCCCTGCAGGAGGGAGTCCCTGCAGAGGCCTCCACAAGGTCATCCTCAAAGGACTGAGGCCCTAGGGACACTGCAGTGCCCCCAAGGAGGAGTGCAGAATGCAGCCAATGACATGGCCAACTCATACTGTGCAGAGTCACTCAGGGGACCTCAGTTTGAGCCAGACGCAAACCTCCCTCAGGTGGCACCTGTGGCCAGCAGGGGGCGTGCAGGAGCAAGGAGTTGCTGAATGAGTAGTGGATTTTTTCCAGTTGTGGTTCTCATTTTTCAGTAAACGTGACACAATTCCTGAGAAAGACCTCCACAGTTATGCCTCAGGGCCTTCAATAGATGTTTTCAATTTAAAAAATAATGATTAACTGGGATGGATTGAAAAGGGTTGATGGCATAACCTTGAATTCCTTAGTCCTCAAATGAATGTTCAGAGAGCAATATCTTCATGTCTCATGTACATAAATTCTAAATTTATAAAGGACCCTGAACATACAATATACTTCCTCAAAGAGTAATTTGAAATCATTAAAGGCACAATTATTGGCATTTACAGCTGGTTGTGCCACTTTGCACAACCACACAGAGACCCACAGTTTCATGAGCAAGCTCCAACACTCAGGCTCGAGTACCCCAGAAGCTCTCCCAGGAGATCTGGCTGCTGTGGCTGTTGCTGGCTCTATTCTGCAGTGAGCTTCCAGGAGGAACACCTGCTGCCTTTCCCTCAGGCCTGGCCTTCCCTGGAGGACACGTCCACATTCTCTGTCCACAGTCACTCCCTGTTCCTGGGTAATTCTTCTCCCATCCAACACATCAACATGGTCCTCCCTGTGACATCTTTCCATCCTCTGTGCCCTGCATCAGTGTGGACACAGGAGGTGAATTCTGCACACTCCACATGCAGACCACAGGCTTGGCAGACACGGTGCTGGTGATGGACAGCAACAGCCTGGACACACCTCGCCCCTCCCTGCACATGAGCCTCTCACACAGTCGATAATTTCCCTGGGATCTTTATGTCAATATGAAATGAGCAGATTAAATCCCCTGAAAACTGACCAGGTGGAAAGATTACCAGGACCAGGAATTCGCTGTCATGGTTCACATATGATGTGGCCCACAAGCTCATGTGTGAGACAAAGGAGAGAGAACTAGATTACCAGAGCTCAAACCTACAGTGGATTAATCCATTAACACAGACTGACTTGAAGCCATTGTAGGCAGGTGGGGGGTGGCTGGAATACATGGATCACTGAAGTTTGCCTTTGGGGGACACTCTGTGCAGTTCACCTGCTTCTTGGTGACCATGTCCTGAACTGGTTTCCTCCTCCACACCCTTCTGCCACGGTGTTCTCCCTCCCTGGCCAGAGCTAAGAACTTGCCAACTTGCACTACAACCTCCTAAGTCATGACCCAAAGAAAGCTTTTCCTCCTCTGTGTTCTCAGAATTTTGGTCAGGTGACAAAATGCTGTCAAATATTGATATATTTTAGGAGGTTTTCTTATGGCCACATCATACATCCACTAAGTTTCTCTGATTTTCACGAACACTTTGTGCTGAATGGTGAAAGCAAACTGAAGCCCTGGAACAGGTGACGTGTTGAAGACCTCACACCTGGCACAGGTGAGGTGGGGAAGACTGTCACATGGAGGGCTCAGGATCCCCAGGTCAGGAGGTGGAATCATCTTAGGATGCCTCCTACTTAGATGCTTGGAAGAACAGCTTTCTAATCAGATGATTTGCTAGGACTTGGAAACTTCACTCAGGGGCTCACCTGGATTTGCAGGTGGTGAAAACATGGAGACCAGCAGGTCTTACCTGAGCCACCCCAGGACCAGGAGGTGGGTGCTGCAGGCTCAGTGTTTGCAGGGAGTTCATGGTCAACACCACAGGGAACAAGGAGAGGAGCCCACATGTCTTATTAGTGTGCTGTGCTCACTCAGTTAGGCAGGAGGTCAATTCCTGAACCTCATCAGGAGGTCAGCAACTACACCTGCCCTCTCAGTGACCCCACCTCACTAAAGACACTGTCCACTGTTTTCTCCAAATGCTGGACTGTGGGCAAGGCAGGTGTCACTGCACTGATGCTGCACAGGGAAGTGTCCCTGGGCCTTCTCCCTCACCCAGCCTGCCTTGCATGCCGTCCTGTCTGCTGTCAGCCTGGCTCTGCTGCTCTGGGGGACTCAGGGGCTCTCAGCCTCAGGCTGCAGCTGAGTGCTGCCTCTGCTCCCAGGACTCTCACCTGGCCCAGCACCTCCATCCTGTCCTCTCCTGGTGGAGACCAGAGGGCAGGACAGGTGAGGAGAGGAGCTCAGGGCAGATTCCCACCCACTGCTGTCCACAGGCATTGGCTGGACAGTCAGGAGGACAATGAGGGCAGAGGGTGGGGGAGGGCAGTGGGCACACAGCAGGAAGCCCCTCCCCTCCTGAGACCCTGCTCCCTCCTCTCCTGCTCAGTCTGCAGCCCCCAAATCTCACAGAGATGAAAGAGAAGAACTAGTCCTGAGAACAAAGGGGGGTTCTTCTCCTGGATGTGTGGAACCCCATCCTCAGCCCTGGGCTCTGTTCAGTCATCACTGAGGGCTTCTCCTTCAGGGCTGGGAGGTGAACCTGGGCCTCTTGCATGCTGGTCACGTTCCTGCCACTCTGACACCCTCCCAGGTTCAGGGAGGAAGGGCTTGGAGGAGGCAGGGCTGGGCTCAGGAGGGTGGGCTCCCCCTCTGACAGCATTCCAGCACCCCTGAAACCACCTGCTCTCCTCTCACAGGTAAAGCTCCACCTGGGTTCAAGACAGGGACACATCTCAGGGGCACAGAGGCCCTGGGCAGCCTGACCTCAGCCTCTCCAGATATCAGAAGAGCCTCACCCACATGCAAATCCCTCACCCTGCTATGGGTTCAAATGCCCTCTGGGCTGTGGGAGCTCCCAGCTCTCTGCTCAGACAGGGCTGAGGTCTCTGGGAAGGCAGGTGTGGTCTAGAAGATGAGGCTGCTGGGTCTTGTCCTGTGCCTGGTCACAGCTCCCCAAGGTGAGTGTCCCCAGTGTCAGACCTGGGTCCATGGGGAGGTTGTGACTGCAGGTGACTGACAGGGTGTGACTGTCCTTGTCCCCAGGTGTCCTGTGCCAGGTGCAGCTGCAGGAGTCAGGACCTGGCCTGGTGAAGCCCTCACAGACCCTGTCCCTCACCTGTGCTGTCTCTGGATTCTCCATCACAACCAGTGATTACTACTGGAACTGGATCCGTCAGCCCTCAGGAAAGGGGCTGGAGTGGATAGGGAACATATGGTATAATGGTAACACTTACTACAGCCCATCCCTGAAGAGCCGAGTGTCCATCTCCAGAGACATGTCCAAGAACCAGTTCTCCCTGCAGCTGAGCTCTCTGACCACTGAGGACACGGCCACCTATTACTGTGCCAGAGACACAGTGAGGGGACCTCAGTGTGAGCCCAGACACAAACCTCCTGCAGGGCGCCCAGGACCAGCAGGGGCGCCCAGCACAAAGGACCTCAGGTCAGCCCAGGAGCAGGTGCAGAGGTGGAGGGAACTTGACCCCAGTCCTGAGCCTCCTCACCAAGCAGCTCCTCCTGAGAGCACCAGCTATGGAGGTCCTAGAGAAGCCTCCTCCCCTTGGACACCCCTCATTTCCCTCCAGGTGAGGTGTGTCAGGAGTGCTCCTCTTCAGCAGCGGCTGCACAGTCTCCTCTCTAGCTGAGGCTTTCTGTGCAATGACAGGCACTGCTCAGGGCCATCACGTGAGCTGTGTGGACACTTCGTGGCTTGGGGAACTCCCTCCACTCTCAGAAGGATCTGGATGTTCTCCTGCCCGGTGTCCCTCCCAATCCAGTGTTCCCAGTGGCCTTCCTGTGACTGATCTGTGCACTTGGCACATGTAGAGGTCATAGCCCACATTGTTCCTGAGCCATCCAGCCACAGGGGACCTTTGACAATGACAAGGCACAGTCTGTCTTGTCACAGGTTAATGAACAGACGGTTGAGTCACCATTAGGTGATAGAGACCATGTCTGCAGCTGATAGTCTAAAGCCACCATCAGCAGGCACAACAAGGTTTCCTCTGTCCCTAAACATAAGCAGGACTGAGCTGAGGGATGCCGACAGGAATCCCTAAACCTGGTCTAAATGCACAGAGCGTGTGTATTCAGAGTGAACTTTGGCGTATGTGAGCTCTAACCTCATGAAGAGGCTCTGTGACACCAAAACTCCAACCCATGGCCCCAAAGGGCAGAGGTGCCCACTCCTCATGCAGCTGTGTGGCCTGTGGACAGGTGTGACCTGAGGAAGGTCTTGGAGAAAAAGGGGATCTCTTGGCACAGACCCAAGGATGGTTAGCTCTGCATGACTGTGGGAGCTGCAGGTTGGCTCTGCCACTGGCCTCAGGACCCTGAGACATGCTGTGCCCAGGACCAGTCTGATCCCATCCTGCTGGGAGCTGACCCTGAGCCTCAGAAGACCCACGACACCTGGCTGCTGGGGAGAGGCAGCTTGGAGACTGCCTGGGTTTCCAGCCACTGTGGCAGCATTGCAGTGTCACAGACAGGGACACCCTGGACTCTGTCCCTGCTCACATCAGTGCCCACCCTGTCCTGAGAGTCCAGCTCCAGTCTGGGTGAGTATGAGCATTATCAAGTTAACATCCCAGATTGTCCTAAGCTTATCCTGGACCATGCCATTAAGTAGAATCATTTTATGTATTTTCAAATTATGTTTTGAGGGCTACAGCACTGAGTTTATGTAAAACATTTATAATTTGCTAAGTTAAAGTTTTATGTTCTGTATCACCATAAGCCTCTTATGTATTTATTAATAATGAATCCAAGTTTTAATCACTTTTAATATTCTATTTGAGCATCATAATCATAGAAAAATGGTGCTTCATTATCACATGTTGATAGAGGATAAACAGATGGTGAAGAGGAAATGCTTCTGTGTATTCTGTGTGTCTGACATTTCTATATGTGGCTTACTCCTTTCAATTTATTATCTAACTTTACACAAAATATAAATGCAATGATTTGCCTTAGTATCCTTACAATTAACTCACTATAATCATAATTCTACACTTTTTTTGGTTTTTAGCAAACAAAGAAATATTGCATTTTAATTAAGAGAGAATTTCCACAGTGGTGTAGTTTCTGTCTCTCAGGACTTGCTCTGGGGGATCTAGGCTCCTCCCTGAGCCTGGTAGATGCTGGGAGCACTTTTAACATACAAAACGCCCCTCACTAACACAAAGCTTGCATTTGATTGCTTAAGTTTATTTTTATGAGTATAATATATTCACTTAGATACTTAAACTAGACTTATGGATTTGACATTTGAATATATAATTTAAAAACATGAATAAGCATGTTGTATTTTGTTGTCATTCTCATGTGAGGGTGTTTGATCACCAACATCACTAAGAATGTCAGCATCTCTCTCCATCAGACAACAGCTGGCCATTCCAGCTGTATTTTCACACTTACACTAATACCTAGCTCTAGTGAGGCAGAGGACAGCACCCTGACACAGGGGTGCCAGGTGCCATGATGGGTCCCAGGGTGTACACACCCAGCTGTCCATCACCTGTCCCTCCTGGGTGTGTGCAGTCACCAGCTGCTCTGCCCCAGTCACTGTGAAGCACAGCCTGGCTGTGGGCCACAGGTGCCCTGTGATCTGCAGAGCCCCAGGACAAGGCCCTTTCTGCACATGGCCCTCACCACCCCCCTCACCCTCACCCTCCTTGCAACTTCCCATCTCCAGGGGCCACTGTCCTCTCTCTTTCCAGGGCCTGATGCAGTATTTTCCCACATAAGTGATGGTGTGGTGATGGTCACCCTCTGCGTAACTCATTTCAGGTAGGTCCATGTGCTCGAGGGTCATGCCCAGGGCCAGGAAGGACAGGATGCCATTGCTTTTTGCTAAATTACATTCTTTCCCTCTATGGACAGTGTATTTTTAAAATATTCACTAAGGGACACTGTGATGATGAAAACTGCTTTGACACTCATGAGACTGGAGTTAAGGACAGGCCTCTTGGGCCCTATGACTCAAGTATTGGGCATAATGGGCAGAAGTCCTGTCCCCAAGCCTTGGGCTATCCCTCCCCCATGTCTCTGCTGGCCTCAGGCCATGCTGCACAAAGTGGGGTCTCCTGCCTGCTGCCCTACAAGCTGGCCTTGTTCCTAGTAGACCTACAGTGCTGCTGTCTTAGGAGGACTTACTCTCAGGATCCACTAGCCATTGCCCTAGGGGGCCTCTGTGTAGGGGACACACCTGGGACAAAGCTGTGCCTGAGCCCCAGGTCTACCCAGGGCATCCTCTGCAATCCAGGTGGAGGAAGACCTACCTCCACACTGTGGCACCCTGTGTGCCTGCAGAGTTAACCCCATGAGTGCTGCCAGGTTAGCTGCTGAGTGACTATCCAGCACCCAGATCAGAGCCAGCACAGACCAACCCTTTACCCAGTCCCAGGGCTGTGTCCACTTCTTTAGATGCTCACTATGACCACCTCAGGCCCCAGCACCTGTGTGGCTGAGTCCAGTCTGTGCTGCTCTGATCAGCTCCTGAGGCTGAGGGTTCACAAGGAGAGAGCTGTGTTGCAGCAGGTTCTGGAGACCAGGGTGCAAACACCCAGGTGCTGCTCCTGACCAGGGCTCCTGAGGCTGCAGCACCACATGGCAGGAGGCAGGAGGCAAAGAGAGGCAGATGGGGCTGGACCCCTGAGTGGTGCTGGGGTCCCACTGGGGCTCAGGGTGCCAGGAAGGCTCTACCAGCCCTGGGGGAATCCAGGTGGCCTGTTCCACTGTGTCAGCTGTCCTCTCCATTCTGTCCACCCTCATGGACATGCTGAGGGTGACAGGGCAGCTGCATTAGTGGTGGGTGGCTGTCCTTCCTGAAAGACACCAAGACAGTTATTTCAGTCAGAGAGACCCTGCTTCCCCAAGCCTACAGTGCCCATGGGAGAAATGGAGGCTGAGACCACAGAAGATAGATGGATGGGTGGATAGATAGATAGATAGATAACTGTTAATAGATCTTATATAGATAGGTGGGAGATGGTAGTTGTTTGGTGGATGATAGATACACAGATAGAAGCTGAGAGTGAATGAGGCTAAATTAAAACTGTGCCTTGACATGGCACCAAGTCCAAGGGGATGTGGCCCCTCCCAACAGAGGGCGCCCCCATATGTGGCCCCCTGTGGACTCAGACATGACACCTGAAAGTGAGGACAGAGCCTGGGTTTCTCCCTGCCCACACTAGGGCCCTGTGCCAACCACAAATGGCAGCAGCATGTGGACCTGAGGGCTCTGTGCCAACTGGATGCTCCTGAGCTGAAGGAGGCCCTCACAGGGAGGCACAGCCTTCCTCCTGCAGGAGCCTCTGAGGCCCTCAGCTGGATGCCTCCCTGGAGAGCAGGTGGCAGCAGAGAGAAGACACACAGCACATTTCCAATGCAGGACGGTTCTGAGGACCTCACCAATGTGTGCACCTGGGAGCTGGAGGAGGGTCAGGGCAGCAGTCATATCGAGGGTGAGAGCAAAAGACCAGGTAACCAGTCACTCTTGCCCCACATGAGCTGTTGGACAGTGAACCAGCACTCATGCTTCTGTGTGATTTTACATCTGCACCAGGGAGTTAGCACAGACACCTCCATCATATAATTATGTGTTTATATTAGATAAACTAAGAGTATGGAAAATAAGATCAAATTAGAAGAAATTCTTCCCTCCTGAATGCTCCTCTGTCCACCATGCTGCCCATGACACT